CCACTATGTGTTTGGACAATACACAATAATGTCATGGATGTTAAAGAGTCATCTATTTATTTTAAACATATCTGAACTCCACTGATGTGTAGCTGCAGGTACAGTGGTGCTCCTCTATGGAAACGAGTTTCAGCTTTTATGTTTTCCAGGAAGAACTTTCTCATTTCTCTTTTCAGTCCCTCCCATTCTCTTTTGAAGCCAGTTGCTTTGGTTACCACCGCTGTTTGGCGATGCTAGAGCAGTTTAGGTAACCATGGCTACCGCACTCTGTCAGTCACAGCAAGGAAACAGATGAAGGCTCCTGATCTGATTCCTTTTTTTTTTTTCATCTGGAAAAATATCAGAGGCGGGGCTTCTGAGCCCACCACCTGCCGCAGAGCATGCTGGGAGCACAACCAATCTCCATGTTCAACTGGCCAACTCTATTTCGCTCATATCCCACCAACAGCCAGACTCATCTCTTTTCATTTCTACTGATTTCAACCCCACCCCCACAGAGAGCAGTATATAAATTGTGGGTAATAAATCCAACACTCTGCAGGTTTTGGTAATAAACTCTGTGAATTGAACTTTGATCATAATCAGCCTCCAGAGGAGAGATGGGGGTTGGGGGAGAGAGAAAATGTGGATTTTCTACTTTAAAGTAAGAATGAAAATTGTAGCTAGAAACTTATAAATAAATAGGAAACCACATACAAGAAAATGTGGGACATGTCTCTGCTGGCAAATAAGGGATCAATAATAAAGTTTAGCATTTAGATTGATTATTAGATCCATCTTTAAGTGATTGAGTTTTGAAGCAATCAGGATATATTATTTCTTATATTCCATTAATGCATGAGTGTGTGTACAAATGGCAACCTCATTAAATATTTTGTGTTTTCTTAATAAATGTTCACATATCAAAGTATAACCTCTGGAAAAATAAGTGATATAATTGCACGTAAAAATGGTTTTGATCGTGAGACACAGAAGGATCCCATTATAACACTCTACTCCCTTACTAGACAATGGTAAAGGTCTAATACTAACGGTCTGCAGCATTAGACCATAGAAGCACAGATTATGAGGAGAGAAAAGATCAGATTAAATGGTTCTACATGACGTCACGCCTCCTACATCCAGGTGTTCTGTCACTGATGGAAGACGTTTTTCTACTTCATTCTGTTTGAGCTAACTATGCTACACACTCACAGTGTGTCTGGTTAATATCCAGAGGAGACACAAGTCATGCAATACAGGACAGATTTGCTCTCCTTACTTTATTAGTGGTAACAATATTATCAAATGTTTCTAAAAATAACCAAATTATGACATCAATAGTGTACTAAGCAGACTGCTGTAAAAAAATTACTTTGTAGGAAAACCTGTAGTTAAAATCATTTTAAGTTAAAGTTCCACAAATTGGAAATTGACAAAAAAAGAGGAGGAAAAATAGCTTATTGATGCATCGCTATTGGTATGCACTCATGGGACTAATGTGTTGAAGCAGAGACACATGACACATGGAGGCCAATGGGGCCAGCAGATCAACCTGCTGCAGCAACAAATTTTTATTAAAAATATTTATGGATGTGAAAAACCTCCAGGTCTTTGCTTTGCTACTGAACCCTGTTAGCCTCTCTAGAACCTGCTGTTTTTGCTGTTATTTTATGTGAGCTCTTCTCTGCACTCCAAAGGTCAGGTTACTGTTTCAATCTGGACAAATGTGTGAGAGGGCTGCCTCAAAATTTTAAGCCAAAAAAAAAAATCCATTCCGTCATTATCTTGCTGTGTAAACATGGACTGAATAAGATGTGATAGAGGATTAAACCCTCTTTATTGAGCTTTATAAATTTTTATTATCTTAATAAAAATCTGTAAGTGGTGGAAATTGATCATTTTTGTAAAGATTGTTGAATATTTTCAGAGATTTGACAGCTTGAACTAATCAAATTTATAACCATCTGCCTCTCTGGGCGGCTCCTTTAGGGGGCGCCACAGCAGATTATCAGCCTCCATCGCTGGCATCCTTCTCTGTCTCACATCCCTCTGAAACCTTTTCCTTTTATTAATCCCAGAACGACCTGATCTGTCCCTCAGGACACAGTATTTATTCCTAATGCTATAGCATTTAGTTCCTTAGAAAAAAACCCCCCAACAAACATTAACAGCTCTACCAACTTCAGTTCTTTCTTATTATTAGGTCCATCATCTTTAAACATCCACTCCAGCAGGTTTCACTCCTTTCCTGCTAACATGCTAACATCTCTTTTCCTCCTTGCAGCTACTCCTTTAATGCATTTCTCCTGCCACTCGTCTCCGATCTCTTCATCCTGCCTGCTCTCTCTTCTTCCTCTCTCGCCTGTTGCTGTTGTGAACATCACTGGCCCTTCTGTCTGACCTTATCTGTTAGCCTGTTTATCAGCACTGTTAACTACAACAAGAGGCTCAGAGCTGATCCCTGATGTATACCATTCCACACTTTGAACACATTTACCTCACCATTGACTAACATCCTAGCTACCCATCTTGGATCTCTCTCACAGCCTCTCTGGAACCTGCTTAAGCTTAGACATGACCATCTACGGTTCAACTAAAAACCACCATCACTCTAGATCAGGGGTGCCCAAAGTCGGTCCTAGAGGGCCGGCATCCTGCATGTTTTAGTTCTCTCCCTGGTTTAATGCACCTGGATAAATGATGACTCGTTACAAGGTCATCATGTAATGAGTCATCGTTACATGATGCTTTCATCGTTACATGATGCTTGTCAACCTTTTCATTGACAAGCTGAAAAGGTTGTTACTACCACCAGGGAGAGAACTAAAGCATGCAGGATGCCGGCCCTCCAGGACTGACTTTGGACACCCCTGCTCTAAATGTAACATTCAACAAATATTGATGAAAGTAGCAATGAAAGAAGAAAACCTAACAAATAGGGTTTTATCTTAAAATGTTTTTCTGAACTGTTTTTGCTGCAAAGGCAGTTCAAAATTTAGCTGGAAATTTGTCAGGATAAAAAAAATAAAGAAATCAAACTGATGTTTGATCTGTTTAGGTGTAAACTCACCTTGTCTACAGATTTGTCTCTCTCCTCGATCACGGCCTTCATCTCCTGAGCAGTGATGTCACTCCTTCGCTGTTGTGCTAGCCGTACGCGCTGAACTAGAGCTGAGCCGAATTGCCTCACTTCCTGGACTGAGTCGGCTTCGCAGACATGCTCAAGGAGATCTTTGATGTCCTGAGAATCAGAAACAATCAGGTTGAACCTGGTCCGGTCATCAGTTCCAGAATAAACCAAACATTGGTTTGTAAATGTGCTGAGTCAGCTCACCATGTCAACGTCCTGCAGGCTGATATCATCCGACCTGAAAACAAAAGAGCAGATAATCTGTTTGTGGAGAATCTAAAGCTGGTCTGTCGCCATCTACCATGTCTAAAACATCTGTGTAAAATAGTTTTATCTTAAGCACAGACGTCCAAGGTACAAAGACAATGGGACTTCTAATCACTTTTTTTCCAATTCAGTTTGTTTATATGATGCCATTTCACTACAAATGTCATCTCAATGCACGTTACAAAAATAATTTCAGTTCAATCACACATTTATTGCAACTGATGCCATCAAGCAGCAGATTAGCCTCAGTTTATCATTCAAGTGAGTTTAAAATCTAAGGAAACTCAGCAGAGCATCGAGTCACTGACCTGCAGGACTCACTCCTCCTGGACGAACGAGTAACGACTTAAAACAAACACTTGCTTTGTGTTGCTGATTTAACAGCAGTCCCTCATAACAAGCATGCATATAACAACGGTACAGAGGAAAAACTCCCCTGTAAACGGGCAGCATTATGTATTTTATAGGCACATAGTGGCATTTTATATTATAATCAACTATGTTACTTTTAGTTGTAATAAAAATGCTATATATCAAATATGATTCTATAACTTAATGCCTTAAAACTGGCCCTCTGTCTCTTTAAGAAGCTCCTGCTCTTTCTGAAACTCCACCTTCATGAAGTCATCACAACGTGGCTCCTCTATTAACCCTTTAACAACGTTTTACCAGCGTTGCGATGAGAAGTAGCTCGTAATGAGCTCAGCAGAGGTTGTATTTCCAGCAGTTCGCTACTTTCTGCTGGCTAGTCTGAAGGAACCAAGTGTGGTAGTCATGGGGAAGACTGCTCACTGCGTTGGAAACTCAGATAGAGTCTCAGATAGAGACCTGAAGAAAATGCTGTTGAAGTGTGGCAGAGAGTTACTATCCAATGAAAGTAATCCTGTGCCACTCAGTGAGGCAACATAAGAAGTCAGAATGAAGTTTGCAAAGAGCTTCATTCCTGGAGACATCATGCCCTGTGCTCTGACGAAACCTTATGACATTTAGAGGGAAAAGAGAGAAGTTATAAAGTACGGAGGTGGCAGCATCATGCTGTGGAGCTTCATTGCTGCAGGGACAGAGAAGCTGGTCAGACTTTAAGCAGACAGAGCTAACATTGGGGGTGGAAGGCTTGGGAGAGAAGCAAACTTGTTTGTTGGAATGGCCCAGTCAAAGTCCAGAACTACCACTTGTAAACAACAAAACTTGTTTTAACTGAGTTGAGATTTCAGCAAAAAAGAAAGTTTTGCATCAAAGTATTAGGATGAGTAACCCTTTCACTCAGCAGTTGGCTATCAACCACTATTTTGATCACTTCTAAAATCCATAAACATCAGTGGCAGGTAAGTAACAAAATGTGGAAATACTGAAGTGATATGAATACTTTTAGAAGAGGCGTCACCCTGGTGTTTGACTTGTCTATATATTTAACCTACAGAACACGTTTGCTCTTCCTGTTACTCTGCATGAACCGTCCTCCAGTGTTTGCTCTTCAGACTATTCAGCTTATTTCAAAAGTTCCAGCCAAAGCAATGCAAGCCATGCTAATATGTATATTGTGAATGACAAATAAAAGGTGTAACTTGGTGCCCTGTAGTCAATTACTGAGGTCCTACAAAGGTTCCTGGTGTCTGTGTTCCTACCAGTGACCACGGCGACCGCCTGTTAGATTACCTGAGCGCCATGCAGCAGCTGTGCAATAATTTTGTCCTGTGATCCCTAAAGTCCGTGTTAAAATCTGTCATTTTGAATTCATTTTGAAGCAGTGGAGGCTTCCCTGGAACGGACCGCTCTCCTCTCTGCTGTTCTCGGATTCTTCCTCCTCCTGACAGGAGTCTTGACGGAGGACGTGCAGCTAGTAGTAACTACCTGATCTTCTGTCTCTCCTCCTGGGAAGTTCTTTTCATTTAGTCTGCTGCTGTTTTGCTGTAATAAACTGTAATAAGGTGGTCGAGGCGGCTCCGCTCTGCAGGGAACAGCAGATAATGAAAGACCGGCCAACTCCAATAAAGCTCCACTAACACCCTGCTTACAGCCCCCCATCCAGCCTGGCTCAGCCCGGCTCGGCTTGGCTCGCTCGCTCGCTCGGCCGTCTTCATTACCACTCCCACACACCTTCACTCAGGCACGCCGCGAGCAGCCATTAGTGGGAGCACATCCAAGAGAGAATACCATCAGTCTGCATTTGTTCCTTTGACAAAGTTTTACAAGTTGTCTCCTTCGCAGAGACAGAATCTAACGTGATGTGGCTGCTTTTCTTGGAAATCCTTCATTTCATCTGAAGGAGTTTGCTCTTTCCAGGAATCTGAAAGAAGTTCTTGTCTTGTTCCATAACTTGAAAGATGGTTGAAGGGTAACCCCATATTGCTACTCTGTAAGTCCATATGGGGGCGCTTTATTTGACAGAACTTTGTTTTTACTGAGAGGGATTTTTGTCAGGTCCAAGCTCTGGTCTAAGAACATTTTTATATTTTTAACCTTTATTTTACCAGGATAAAAAAAAAACCAACTGAGATTAAAAACCTCTTTTTCAAGGCATGAATTGCAACATGAAAGTGATTTTAAGCGCAGAGGTTTGAAGGATGTCATGTCAGAGTGTGAACAAACCTGCAGCAGAATGTTAGACATGTATGCAAACAAACGCAGAGCCTCCGAGGCTTTAAACATAACTTTGTTTAAAGTTATGTGGGAGAACGTTTTGGCCTTAATGCAAAATGATGTGTGTGGGGAGAAAACCCAACACTGCACATTCCTACGGACTCACTTTCCCCACAGTAACATATGATGGTGGCAGCATCATGCCGTGGAGAAGGAATACTGTAACAAAGAGGTTTAGATCAAAGCATATCAGCGTGTTAAAATGGCCTAAAAAATAACCTTTAAAAAAAATAAATCAGTCACTTGCAGATTAAAGTTGATAGACATACCTTCAAGAGATTTAAATCTGTAACTTTTGTTGGTCCACCTTAGATCGGGCATAAAAATTCCAACCCAATCCGAGCCCATAGACACTGTGTCAAAGTCCGATCCAATCCGACCTGACCAGTTAACAGGACAGGAAGCCCAAACCTGAAGTAACTGCTATCAGTTTAAAGTATTTCCAGACCTCTGACTTCATACTCTGCTGGCTTAGTAGTAAAACAATGTGTCACTCACACTTTATACATGTGAAAATGTGTATAACAAATGTTTTGTTGTTTTTAGCTTTTGTGTAACATCTTCCAGCTCCATCTTGTCGCTTGTTGTAACCACAGGGTGAGTCAAGTGCAAATCTTCTGGGATGTGTGACAGATAGGAGTGGAGCAGGCTGTGTGCATCAGCTGTGCAGAGCGCTGGGCTTCTTACAGTCTGATTTCTTTCTTTCCTCACCAGGGTGCATCTGCCTCGTTCTTCAACCAGCATAGCAGAGGACGTCATCCCTCTGGTCGTTCAGCTCCACTGGCTACCATTGGTGTTGGTCAGAAGGGTGGATGGCGTGATATGACAGGGTAGCTGTGGCATCATCAGAAAGTGAATGTGTGGGTGAATGGAAAAAACTGACTTTATGAAAAGCATCCTGAAAAGCGCTATCCAGGTCTGATGTCATTTCATCACCAGGCAATTCAAGTCTACTTCAATGGGCTTGCAAAGACGTTATGACTCTGCTTTTCACTCTGGTCATCAAGGGATTGCCGGCTTGCAGTGAAAACACCACACTCAAGACAATCCAGACTCTATTCATGCGGCGTTCCACGATGGCAGGTGCCACTGGAACAGGCATCTGCCATAATGCGTCTCTGGTTAATGGGTGGTACGGTGGGAACAGAGGTAGGAGTTCTTCCTGAAATCGGTGGGTCGCCGGTTTCAGTCCCTGCCCAGTCCTTTTGTCATTGTGTCCTCAGGCAAGGAATTTCACCCACCTTGCCTGCTGATGGTGCTCTAATCTGAAGATCACATGAAGTCTGGAGGTCAGTAGACAGATGGGGTCATCGGTGCACCCCAGCGACCTCTGACCCAGTCCTGTGATTCCATGTGGCTGTCGGTGAATGAAACAACTAGGCAGATGCTCATTAGCGTGATGGTCTATAAACATCTCTGGCTGTCTGAGTTTTTTGGGCCAAAGAATCCTAAAATAATGACAGCGGCTGAGCGACTGTCCAACAAACTGTCAGCCAGGAACTTAGGAGAAAAAGAAACACCGCCTCGCTTTATTCACACGGACATGAAACACACATTCACTGAGGTCACCTCCTCCATCAGCAAAACACACATGCTAATGCCCAAACACTAACACACAACAACATGAAGTGGCACACTGCAACACACTCACTGAGGTATTCAAGGCTTCCTCCTGCCACAGGAAAACACACACACACACCAACAAAACTGACACACACTCCGAGTCCTGACAGATGGAACATGCTCCTCCATATTCTGTCCTCATAAAAAAGGACTGTGGCCTCCAATATCAATTACCCTCTCACTCTGGGGGTGTGAGGGTGGGTGTGTTTGAGGCAAAGGAAGAAGAACTAGGAAGAGGGGGTTTAATTCTAATTAGATTTTCTGGTCTATTTGGCTGCTGCTTGAAGAAGACAAGAGCTCATTTCACAGCCCTCAAACCAGAGTGAGGAGGTGCATAATGAAGGGGGGAGGAAGAGGAGAGTGGTGGCGGCTTGTGATCCTTCTTCAGCAGATGCTAAACATGTTTCCCATGTAAATAAATGAAAACGACAGGCCTTCCTCAGAGAAACTGCTGGTCTACAGACGGGTCACTGGAACAACATCAAACAAACATGGAGGTCTTAGAAAACACACCGTGGTGGCTTTCCGATGCCGAAAATGACCAGAGTGTGCTGAACTAGGAGCTAAGCTCTCCTCAGAATGACTCACTCTTACTCTACAGTGTCAATTTGTCAAAGCTGCTTCATTTGGTTCATCAGTTCTGCAACCTAAACAGAAGTCTACCAACCATCAAGTCCGTATAGAGGGATTATTTTTGAGTACGCAACCTGACTGCAGAAAGCTGTCACTGGCTGCCATGGTTACCCATCATTGTCTTACCTTTTTAACACTAGCTAGCATGTTGCCAACTTACTACAACTGTTTATGACAGCCTGATAAAATAAGTTATGCTACCAAACTGACAATGAATGAGATGCGTCTTATTGATCCAAATGTGTTACATGAAGCTGAGAGGATAAATGATGAGAACAAAATGTCACAAACTTCAGCGGGCGACAGACATTACTCACTAGGAATATTAAAGAAAGTTTGTTCATGGTAAGATCAGCTCTATTTCAGTCCATCTAAAAATAAGAAACATATCCATGGTGAGGAAAGAACCAAGTGTAAAACCTCAATAGAGTTTTCCTAAAACTGTAAGTTTATATAAAAACACTATTCATATTTAGAGTGCAAAGGACCAATGTTAAATGAGGATTTCATTTACTTTGGTCACAATTAGCATTCATTTAAACTGCAGGGAGTTTCATAATGTTCTAGTTCATATTTTCTGGCTGGGCAAAGAAAAAGAAAAGACAGCAATGTGGTCTACCAGTAGCAGTGTGTAAACAGGTAAGCCCAGAATTATTCATACCGCAGGTAGATTTAGATTTTAATTCATCTTAACAAGACCACCACGATCTAAATATGATATTGATGTGTGCTAAGAATGATGCTTTTGTTTGTCTTAAGATTTCAGCAAATAAACCACTTCTACAGCTGACCTACATTTATGTAAAAGAACACCACAAATATTATTTACACATATTGCACATTGGCAGTCTGGGGGAAAATAAATAGAACATTCATGACGACTTCATGACCACTTACATGAAAAAATACTGTGTATTATAGCTATCAGTATTTCAAGAACTGTTGGACTCATACCCAGCAGCCTCCTGCAGTCGGCGGGCACGGAGTAAAGCTTCATCTCTCTCCTCATTGGCCAGCAGTAGTCGTGACATCAGAGCCTGGTCTCGGTCCTTTTGAGCTGCCAACATCTCCTCCAGCACCTCTGAAAAAACAATGAGACAAGAACCAGTCAGAAATCCTGGTTTTAGCAAAAACAAAGCTGCAAAAATATTTCCTTTCAAAATCATTTTACTGAAAATGTAAAGAAACCGAAGAGACGAAGAGATCAGCTTGGGTGAACTGTGTAGAAACTAAAGGAACTGGGTATTCCTCAAGGTGACCGGCCAATCAGTGCAGAAATCCTTATTGCTACATGGTGTGTGTGTGTGTGTGTGTGTGTTTCAGCAGTAATAACACAGAAATGACCACAGCTCATCTGAGACTGAGAGCCAGGAGACTCTGCTGGTTATTGAAGGGTTCTGTGTGGGCTTCTACCAGGACCCGTCTCAGACTGCAGCTCTTATTTCAGAAAACAAATCTAACTGAATATAATTTTTAGATTTTCTAATTTCAGTCAGGCTCCCTCCCTTCAGCTCGGGGGAGCCTGTGTTCTGCCTGTGTAAGATTTTACACACCAAGGTGAAATGAACATCTCAGCAGAGCTTGATAAGACGATCTGGAGACAAAGCAACCATCTGAATTGACGACACAAGGAAAAGTTACAGGACTTGGGTTTTGTTGTGTTCAGGGCTCTTCAGTAATGTTAACGTCAGAGATATGAACTGGTGAAGTGATTCTCTGTATTGGGCTCTACTGGGGCTGCCAAAGTACAGAAAAACTAAAACTACTACTATAACTAATAAAAGCTAAACCTAAATTCTAATGAAAAACCCAGGACTGTTCTGACCCAGGTGTGTAAACCCAGCTGACCTCCCCCTCCTTACCCATGGGTCTCTCCCAGTGTCGGGCCTCTCGCTGCTGCTCCTTCAGCTCTTCGTCCACCTCTCTCTGCAGCAGCTCCTTCTCTTTCTGAACCATCTGCACTTGAAGCTGATAAAAAGTTTCTGAATTAGAGCGCTTCAGAGGAATTCACTCTAACAGTTTAGCAGCCAATTGAGGCCTAAAGTCAGTTATGTGACCAAATACAAAATCTTCCCCACAAGCTCTAACCTTTGACCTGGGGATCAAAGGAAAGGCTAGACGTGTCCCATCTAATGGTAGCTGATGGACACAGTCTGCAGGAGAACTGCTAGAATGAAAGCAGGGCGTCTTCTGACCTTGTTGTTAAGTTCCCTCATGGCGTCGAGCTCCTTCAGTAAGAAGGAGATGTTTCGGGTTGGAGTCACAGTCTGACGTGGGCTGGAGGCAGAGATCTGAGGAGAGCTGAGCAAAACCAAACGGCTCATTTAACCCATCAGCGTCTCAGTAGGCTCCACATGGGAACAGTGTCTTAATTATAGAGAAACAGCGTAAATATAAACAGCGACTTCCTTTCAGTAGAAATTATATTTGTGGCGTCAAATGATTATACAGTCATTTTAAATAAATTAGAATGTTATTGAAAAGTTTATTTATGCAACATCATTCACTTAGTGAAAGATATTTTATAGTGTACATAATATCTTTCCTATGAGCATATACATATTTTTTAATTATATAAAAATTTTTTATTTAACTTGAGATTAAAACCCTTTTTCTCAAAGTAATCATGGCCAAGTGGCAGCAACAAATGCAACATAAAAAGTTACACAAAGTTCTGTGAAAATTGATGCAAAGTGTTGATGAAATGAAAAGGAACATGGAAGGACAAAGAACAAACAAGGCATAGAAATAAAGCAATAAAAAACACAGAAAAATACAAACCATTATAGAATAACTCAGGACAGATCAACAGATGAGCAAATATTTACATGATCTCATCCAAGGTATGCATGCTCAAGGAGCAGACTTGAGCAAAAACAGTAAAAAGAAAAATCCCCATGGTGTGTGTTGGTAACTTTAGTTTTTTCTTTTAGAATTGACTGACTGGTAGTTTCTGGATGTTTCCATCTGAACAGACAACGCTGAAGTTTCTACAGTAGCAGGCAGCGATGCGACTCCTGGTCAGTTTAGCTGTGTTTGGTCAGGTCTCCTGAGACGTCACCTCGGTGTGTTTCATTAGTTTCCTCCTGTGTGTTGTTAGGTGTTTTAAAGTGAGGTTGCGCCCTCACATTATCAGATCTGAAGCACAGAAGTGCAGGCAGCAGATTTAATAAGCACCGACTGATGTTCGCCTGTAATTCTCCCTTATTACCTTAAAGGTCAGATTGCTTCTTAGTGTAATAAAGCAGGTAAATAAGGCAGTGAAATATGAGTGACACTGTATTTTGTAATTGACTGTTTCTGACTTTATTATATCAGCTCATTCTAATCAACTGCTCCCCCTCCTGCTGAAGCTGCTTTTACTAGCTTCTTATTTCTATAAGGCCCTCAAGCACTTCAGCTAATCAAATCAAAGGCTAAATTTATCAGCTAGCACTTCATACAGTGCAGCACCTCCAACTGCTCCACACGTTTATTTGAAAAAGAATCGAAAGAAGAGACGCATTAACATGAATCACCGTACCTGCAAAAAAAGATGGGGTTTCAATGAAAAGCAATAAACTTTTTAATAAATCTTTTTGTGGCACAGCTCGGCAGACGCAAAATTAATCCTTAAAAATAAGTACACATATTATAGAATTTCCAATATTATTATTATTTAACTAACGTAGTTCAGGTAGATGACATCGATGATCTCTCTTATTTATTGTAAAAGCTGTAAGGTCAGCCAGACCTCCTCTAAGCTTCAGTACTAACATGTGGGATGTTGCACCTGGAATACAAGTAAGAACTGGTGTTTCATGTCAACTACCCAGTCTGACCTAAGAATAATCCCATATCGTTGATAGTGTTGCACTGTGACTCAATCAGGTCCTGGACGAGGCTTAAAGCTTTCCTTTTTGACAAAGCCTATATATAGACTGGCTTAGGTTACTCTGAGCCATCTCTGTGGTTATGCTGCTATACGCTCAGGCTACTGGAGGGAAAACTGACCACTTTCTCTCAATTTCTTCTACTACTCTAACTTGCTTTTTTATTACAATTTCAAATGTTAATTTTATGTTTTCCCAGATTTTCTTTTCTCTTCATCTCAATAGAAGCTACATCTGGTCTGGTGGTTTGCGTGGCTGTGAGTCCTTTCTGGAAGAGGCCATCGCCTGACTTAATGCTGCCATCACCTAATTACGCTCTCTCTCCAGCAAAATTTTTTTTTACCAACACAGAAGGTTAGTAAAAAGTTTATTTTGTGTCTCTGCTCTGTCTTCTCAAACCTCCAGTCGGTCGTGGTAGATGGCTGCTTATACTGACCCAGGTTCTGGTTCTGGTGGAGGTTTCTTCCTGTTAAACAGGAGTTTTTCCTCTCCACTGTCACTACATGCATGCTGAGTAGGAGGGACAGCTGGAAAATCAATAACAATGCAAGCGGTTATCTGCTTTTGCTGCTCGGCCAGGACTGAGTGCTGCGACTCGATGGGGTTCGTCAGAAACTTCTTAAACTAATTTGAATAATGAACTCAGCTTAATGTACTGTTTGATAACTGAGGTCGACTGGAATGCGGGTGTGATTTAATTTAAATTTTTACAAAGTGTCTCAAGACATCATATATATATATATATATACACTGCTCAAAAAAATAAAGGGAACACTCAAATAACACATCTTAGATCTGAATGAATGAAATATTCTCATTGAATACGTTGTTGGAATGTTCCCTTTATTTTTTTGAGCAGTGTATATATATATATATATATATATATATATATATATATATATATATATATATAAGCTGAACCCTAGTTGAACTGTTGCAGCTACACAGCCTCTGGAAACAATTAAGAGACAACAGCAAAATGATCAGTTTTCTTGTTTTGTTTTTTTACAGGTATATATTTGAGTAAAATGAACATTGTTCTTTTATTCTATTCTATTCTTTTATTCTAAATATTGACAATATGTATCCAAAATTCCAATCATAACTGTACTATTTGTTTGTAGAAAATAAGAAATGGTCAAAATAACGAAAAAATGCAGTGCTTTAAGACCTCAAATAATGCAAAGAAAACAAGTTCATATTCATTTAAAAACAACACTTATCTCAGGAAGAGTTTTAACTCAGGAAGAGTTCAGAAATCAATATTTGGTGGAACAACCAGGAGGTTTTCAGTGAGGTTCAGTGCAACAGGCTCTTCATTTTTTCCAGAGTTCTGTATCCCACTGATAAAAACTGCAGTAAAAAATAACCAATTTCTACCATTTCATTTCTGTGAGATTTTTTTTTTCTTCTCATTTGAATAAATACTTTGATTAGCTACATTTCCAATACGTTCTTTCTGGTTACACTAATATCGAATGTCATTAATAATAAAGCTACAGTCCCTGTAGACAGGGGGAGATGCATGGAATTAATCTATTCAAGCAAATTGTGAGTTAATCTGTTGAGAATTGTTTAGTTTTGGGCTTAGAGTCCAGCAAAATATAAAAGGAGGTTAAATCAAAATTCACAAAATATCTTAAACATGAGCTAACTATTCGGGTAAATTGGAGTTTCTGAAGTAATACTGAATATTCTGAATTTAATAAATTAAAATTAACAATGATATCATGTGTCAAATAGATTTTACAAAATAGTGTTTCTTAAAACATGGAAGGGATTGTTTGATTGCTGCATCTCTCTTGCTGTAATTCGAAATAATAGGTGGTTTAACCAAGTCATGCAGGAAGGTCTAACCTGAACATTTATATCATTTAATAAATTTAGTTGTATCAAATTTCTCTCCAAAACTGCCAAAAACGTATTGATAAATATGATAAACCCTATAAGAGAGGGTAATTCAGTTAAAAAATATGTTATAGAAGGGTTTCAAGAGAACAAATTGTTCACAGATTAAAAATGTTGAACTTTTAGGATTTGAAACCATGATGAGAATAAAATAAGTCAGTTAAATATGTAGTGACAGGGTTAACTTTATTCTTTTAAAACAGGCTAATCATTCTATGAGGATCTAAAATGACAAGAAAATATGA